GGCACCACACCTAGCTAATTCTTGTATTTTTAGTAGAGATTTCACCATGATGGCCAGGATGGTCTCAATCTCTTGACCTCGTGATCCACCTGCCTTGGCCTCCCAAAATGCTGGGATTACAGGCGTGAGCCACCATGCCCAGCCCTTTTCTTTTTTTATTTTCCCAATATGGAACGCTTCATGAATTTGTGTGTCATCCTTGCCCAGTGGCCATGCTAATCTCCGTAACCTTCAAAATTTTAGTATATGTGCTGCAGAAATGAGCACCCCTCACCTTTATTTACTAGCTATCAATATGGTAAATTAGTTCCCTAACATTCTCCAAGATAGCCAATGAGGTTTTTTGTTTTGTTTTTTTTCTGAGACAAAGTCTTGCACTGTGGCCCAGGCTGGAGTGCAGTGGCGCCATCTCGGCTCACTGCAAGCTCCGCCTCCCAGGTTCGCACCATTCTCTTGCCTCAGCCTCCTGAGTAGCTGGGACTACAGGCTCCCGCCACCACGTCCAGCTAATGTTTTGTACTTTTAGTAGAGATGGGGTTTCACTGTGTTAACCAGGATAGTCTCGATCTCCTGACCTCATGATCCACCCACCTCGGCCTCCCAAAGTACTGGGATTACAGGTGTGAGCCACTGTGCCCGGCCCTGATAGCCAATGAGATTTTTTGTCGTTGTTCTTGTATCATTACAGATTCATGGCCTTTTATAGCTAAATTTCTCTTTCTCCCGACTCTGTATAAACTTCTTTGTTTTAGAGTGTGCACAACCCTCTATCAAAGCACCTACCACCTCACTTTTACATCTTCTGCATGTATTTCTGTCTTCCTTGCTAGACTGTGAGCACATCTGGGACAGGGACCATGTCTTTTTTTGTTTATTTTGTTTTGTTTTGTTTGAGACAGAGTCTCGCTCTGTCGGCCAGGCTGGAGTGCAGTGGCATGATCTTGCTATAATAACCTCCACCTCCCAGGTTCAAGAGATTCTCCTGCCTCAGCCTCCCAAGTAGCTGGAATTACATGTGCATGCCACCATGCCCAGTTAATTTTTGTATTTTGAGTAGAGACAGGGTTTCACCATGTAGGTGAGGCCGATCTCGAACTCCTGACCTCAGGTGATCCACCTGCCTCAGCCTCCCGAAGTGCTGGGATTACAGGTGTGAGCCACCACGCCTGGCTGGGACCCTATCTTGATTGTCTTTGTAGCTTCAGTGTTTGGTGCAGTGCCTCCCACTGTTTCTTTTCACCTTTGAGATCTTCCCTCTTTGTTACTGTGATCTTCCCTACTGGTCTTTGTTCTTCTGAGTCTGTCCCTATCCCCGCCCCAGCCTAAGCTAGATGTGGGCTGTCCTACTTGTGTTTCTCTCACAGACTGTGTACGGTGCCCTGGGCCTGAGGGATGCCTGCCGCTCCCTGCCGCAGTCCATCCAGCTCTTTCGGGACATTGCCCAAGAGTTCTCTGATGACCTGCACCATATTGCCAGCCTCATTGGGAAAGTAGTGAGTGTGCACCCAGGGAGGTCAGGGAGAGAGAATGCAGTGTGCGAGATGGGGAAGCATG